AAATGTCAGCTGGACTCCAAATATATAAACTGTGACTGAAAATCAGACCACAGCCTGTCACAGTAGGCACCCCAAACAGGAAACACTTAACAGTAACCTTTCCGTGGAATTATTCTCAGCTGGGGATAGAAAAATATAAGAAAAAAAGATTATGGTATCCCCTCATCTAAAAAGTGTGTTTGTGAGAATATATAAATCAACAGCCCAAAGGCATTAAACCATTTTTTTTTTCATGAGCATCATAAAAGAATCTAGCAAGGGAATTAATTATTCTGTCTTCAGATAACAGGTTAAAAACTGGGACCACACTGAATAATGGCTGTGTCTACACAGACATGCCTGTTTGTAGCTGAACTCGAGCTATGGTCATAAAGTCCTTTCTCACCCAGCAGGTCAAGTCCATCCAGACAGCACGTGAGGAGCTAGAAATAACAACCGCTTCCAGTCCACCCCGTTTCCACAGTAAATTGCTGGTAAGCCTTTTTATGGTCTTTATACAAGTAAGGAAGACCAGGTGTTAGCAAACTCTTGAAAATAACAAGCTCTTAGGAAAAATATCCCATTTAACTGCTGTTGCTACTGAAAATGAGTTGAACTGGTATGAAATTATGCTGTTTATAAGCACATCCCTCTGTTCTCTAGGAAGTCCTGGGCTCAGGGGACCCCAGCCTTTACAAACAACTTAATTCTTTGATTTAAAAAAAAAAAAACAAGCAACCTGAATTAAATTATTTACTTCCTAAAAATGGAAGGTACTCCCATTAAAAGTTTGAGTCTGATACTTTTTAATATTCTGTCAATGTAAAGTGAAGTGTCAGGACCACGTTCTGAAAAAATGGTAGAGAATTCAAGCACTGAGTGAGAGGGGTGAACGGTTTTAAATCTGGATGTAAAAACATTTAAAGCTCTGCTTTGTGATTTGCAGCTCACTGCTGCTCACTGCTAGTACAAGCTGTTCCTTCAGCTCATTATTAACAATCCTATGCACTGCATGGAGCATGTGACCATGTAATTATATGAAGTCATGATACTGTTTCCAGAGGCGTCCTTAGTTCTGGAAGTTCCTGTCTTAGGAATCCTTGGCACTGCAGCATGTTGGTCGCATAGATGTAGTCCAGAACCAGGTGGCAAAGTTTAAGCACTCTGTGCTTGCTGAACCAACTCTAATGTTCAGCAGTATTCCCTGCAAGACACTGATAGAGTTCACGCTTAAAGAAAATGGGAGTAGGAAGTCCTGTCACTTTCATCACCAGACTGTGCATGGTCTGCGTCTGGTACTTCCACCTTGCACTGCTGCAGCAAATCTGGCTGGGGGTATTGTTCCTACAGCTCGCAAGAACAGCTGTGTGAAAGACTTTTTGGAAAGTAATCGTAGCTGCAAGGATGCTGCCTTCATTTACTTTCTGGTTTGCTTTCATTTTTACAGGACTGAGTTTGTTTTAGCATATGAAGCCTTCCTCTGTTACAAAAAAAAAAAAAAAAAAAAAAAAAAAAAAAAAAAAAGGACACAGTTAAAAGACCTGCCTTGTCCCCCATAACACTATCACTGTTTCTCCCAAACACCGTTGTTCCAGAAGCAAGAGTCTTCTGTCTTCTGCAACAATGCTGACTGTCCACATATGCTCAGCTCCCCATTTAAATGTGTATGGTCTCTTTTCCACCAGCTTTTTAACTAGAGGAGAAGCATTCACATTCAGCCAACTACACACTTTTACAAAGCATTGAGATGTACAGACTGCCCGAGCGAAAACATGCATGAAAAAAATCTGTCATGCATGCAACTACTATTATGCACTAAATAGAAATCAATATTTAAGAAGGAATTAGTGTTCCAGGTTTTAGAATACTAAATATCAGTTAATCAGTTCATGCGATTTATGCATACCTATAGTGTTCCATTTTGCAAAACTCAATTATAATTACCCCCAAAGCTGTCTGTCAGAGTTAATAATAATTCCAATTTTCAATGTAGTTTTCAAATTGAATTTTCAGTCTTTGAAACTATTTTTACCTGTCTTACGAAAACACTGCTGTCTTGATAATTAAAAAAAAAAAAGAAAGTTCATATAGGGATTTATGTGAAAAAGGACTATCACAAAGAAAATAATTATACCCAAAACTTCCTCCCCTCTTTCTTCTCAGGAGTTCTCAGCTAGGTGTTTTGGTAGAAGGGGTCAGGGCAGTGCCAGAAGCAGACCTTATCAAGCACTCAGGTATTGAAGCACATAAGGCTGTTAACACTCCCTGCTTTCAGGAGCACCACTGCTGAGTAACATGAGCTTCTTCACAAGCCCAAAATCAGTGGCTGGCTACAGAAATCAATGAATGGGGAAAAGTGGGCATCTAAAGACTGGAACTCACAAACATCCACATACTGAATAAGTAGGGAGAGTCAACGCGAAGTCCTAAAGTCTAGGCATGTGCTCCAGCTCTCAAAAAATGTTTTCCTTCTGACTTGACACTAGGGAAGGTGTAGGAGCTCTAAGTGAAAATCCTCCTTCTCCATGATGAGGAGCAACAGGAGTGCTGTAGGCAGAAGCATCTGCAAGGAAGAGTGTTGCTCCTTTTTTCCAAAAGCACACAGCCAGTGTATGAGCTCGGACTGGAGCAACAAGACTCCCGGCTGAGTGCACCCACCTCCACATGAAGTTTTCTTCTTGTCCAGCAAAAACATTTGTCCTACAAATCAGCAGTGCACAAATCAGCAGCAAATTCTACCCTGCACCAATTGCTTGGCACAGCACTGTTGTGATGGGTATGCTAGATTTCACATCAGATTACAGACAGTCACTGTCCTGTAAATCCCATGATCAAAAGTCTCTTTTCCTGGAAACAGCTACCTAGGAAATTTTCCTAATTTATACAAGTAAGTTTGTAGTATCATTCTTTTCACACTCCCATTTAACACATATGCAGACAAAATATACACCAGAACTCATCTTCTTCTATACAGTAGAAAACTGTATTTACTTCTCTTACATTCAAAAGCAATTTCTTAAACATTAAGCCATTGTGAAAAGCCAAAAAATGCCATAGGTTGTAAAGTCTTCGGTACCTACCATATTGAGTATTCTGCTCACCATGGAAGTTAAGCAAATATAAGGCAAATTCAGTAGATTTCATTCGGGAGGCAAAGGGATTTTGTTAACATCAAATTCAGTGGTCACTAATCCTACTCTCACTGTCCTCTTCTGCCTAAGCAACACAAATACTTAAATTCTCCAAATGGTAAAGTTCAGCATCTTGAGCCCTGTTAAATCTTATAAGCCAAAATAAATTTCATTTCTCTGATTAAATAGAAAGTATTTACAAAGATCATAAATAAATAGTGTGTGTGAGTTTTTCTTGTTCTCTTTCATTCTACCTCATTAAGCACTTTTTACTTTGACATCATTCAGAATGATGTTTTCGCTATGCATTTTCCTCCAAAATACAAGGCAGCCATTAAGATTCTTTTTTTTTCTTTCTTCTGGAGTATTTCACACCCACTTTTGCATCTCTGCAGTAAACAGCACTGAAGGCAGTGGGCACAAAATGGTGCCATACGTGCTGGTCATCATCAGACTTGGAATATTGAAAACTACAAAGCTGGGGGCATGGGTAAGTTCAGTAAGCCAAAGGACTTCTCCTCAATTCAGTCATGAAGCAATTGATGGCAGGAGAATGCTGATTCTCAGAGCCCGCCTGAAGTCTGGTAGGTCACCCTTCATATTTTCAGATGCAATTATTCACTGCAGCTCTCTTCAAAATAACCATCTCTGAATAATGCCCAAGAAGAAACACCATCATTTGAAAACAAAGACCACTAATGCATTTGTTCATGTTCTAAACCTGAAAACAGTGGCTAACTTTGAAAAAAGCACAAAAAAGAAAACAACTTTGAAAGCAATAAAAGGAAATGCAGCACTTCGAGAGCACAGGTCTCTCTGCTGCCTTCTAAGGTAGTTGTGAAGATGACGAAATCACACTGTTGCATAAGGAAACATAATAAAATGAGAACGGAGACCTCTGTCTCATGTCACTACCCTTCTGCGTGCAACCGCAGGCTGAATACTAGTTGAGCCATTTCATCATTTAGATCAAAACTCTGTATCACTGCTATACAAGTTTCTTCAGAAATCACACTATCACAGTAAAAAAAGTTCAAAGGTAAGGCTGTTATTTTGCTTTATGAGTAACAAAAATGTATGAATGATAGAAACATACAGAAAAGGAATACATGTCCTTCTAAAAGCAAGGCACACTGCCACAGGAATGAATTACAGATATTTTTAACATGGTAACTGAGGCTGCACAGAAAACAACTACCTTAACCATTTTAGTTTCTCATTTTAACAACAATAAAACACCATGGGAAACAGATGCAAGTTATGCAGTATCCTTTTCACCAACATGCCTGTGCCATGTAAATTTACAACGAGCTGAAAAGAATTTAAATCACTGCACACTCAATCCCAGAGGCTGCTGCTCAGATTAATCTTGACCCAGAAAAAGAGCCAAGCACATGCTGAACTTTGAGTAAATAAATAGTCCCAGCTAACTGTCCAATCACAGGGCCCCACACTTCCATGACAAATGATGCACAGCCTGTCTCCAAAAGAATCAACAAAAAAAGCCAACCTGGCATGGCAGCAGCAACCCCTATTTCATTAGCCTTGTGCATAATTACAACATAAACTGATTGCTTCTAACTTCCTGCTGCAGGAGCTACCATCTGAATTTACAGAAAGCCACGCACTTTGGAATAAAGACCAAAAAATTACCTCATATTTATAGCAAGGAAGGAGCCTACACATCAGGAGTTACTGCAGTTAGCTGACTGAGTTCACACTTTTGTCACAAGCAGCTTGCCTGTGCACCCACACGTTAAGGTGTTAATAGCCTTGCTATTCATAAGTTGTTGGAATTTTGTTTTGCTTCGGTCTTTTTTATCAACCTAGATTTGTAATGAACTGCAAAGTTAAGAAGAATTAGGAAAAGATAGAAAATAATAATAGTACCTGAAGGCCCTCTATGGCTAATCTAAGCATGCTAGGTGTGAGCTTGGAGGCCTGCTTGAAGGTGAAGTTGCTCCAGTCTATAATCAAAACAAATCCATTCACTTGCAGCTCGGGGTCTTCTATCATGGCTTCTAAAGAAAGAAGTATGGCACGCAGAATATCCACCAGTGTGTACCTGAGAATGGGAAGAGGAGATTTGGTTAGGAAAGGAGCAACAACCAAAGAGGTGGAGAAGTTCTGAGTAGTCTCCCTTTGTCAAAAGTTTAAATCAAAGAGTGCAAATGTGTCCTCAGAAGCGCCTGAAGCTGGGAAATCTTCAAAAGCTCAATTCGTTGAGCTCATCTTCTGGAGTAGGATCATGTACCTATAGACATCAGCCAGCCAGAACAAACTACAAGAATGTAACACATCAAAAACAAATTTGAACTTTTCCGTAGTATCCTAAGCTGCCTTAGTATCTTTATGTGGAATTCCATGTCTGTATAACAGCTTCTACACAAATTGTATTTTTCTAAAATCACAAGGATACCAAAACCTGAGACAAATACCAGAAGCATAGATCCAAAGTTTCCTTCTGTATTTTCCAAAGGAAATTAAATAATAGGTCCTAAAAAAATATCAGTTAAATTGGGAATTTCCACACACTCTCCATCATCCCACTCTCTGTGTAATTTTTTCTCTAAAATCCACAAGTACAGAAGCCTGATTACTCAAGGATCTTAAAAGCAAGAGGTAACACACACTAAGGCTTTGAGGTGATCGTTTACTGAAGGCACCCCTGCTCATGGCAGAAGGATTAGAACTGGATGATCTTTGAGGTCCCTTCCAACCCAAACCATTCCAGGATTGTAGAATTTTATAAACAGTTACCAAAACAGACATAAACACAATATCAAATGAGGTACTAGAAAGTTAAACCTGGAAAATATCAGAAATACAAATATTCCAGAAATTAAATATTCAGTGTACAGATATTTTTAACCAAGGACTTTAAATGTCTCCCATGATGGCATCAAACAAAGTTTTCAAAATTGTGAGTCCTTGGAGAATTCTTCACCATTCTGCATATGTAGCAAAGAGCATGTGTGCCTACTTAGAAATTAAATTAAATTATACTGAATTCAACTCACTTTAATACAATGAATACACTGCTCTGTTGTGGACATAACTATATTTTGAAAATATCTGCAAAAGGAAATAACACAAATGAAATTAATCTGTTGTAGCTGACTCCTCGTATCTTTCCATCTTTGTTTATTTAGCCAACTAAAACTCAGTGAACTTCCCAATTATGCATTCATAGGAAAGGGATCTAATGTCTGAACAGGAGTAAGTGTGTTTTCCCCAGAAAACACTACGGGAAGCATTAAAAATAATTTTGTAAAGACAAAATTCTTCTCTTCATTTTGGAGATACTTTATTTTTCATTTTGTTTGATTGACAGGGATAATTTTTTTCATATTCACTCCTTTGAACTTTTCTGAGATTTAACTCTTTTCTAATGCTTTAATTTTCTGAGATCTAAGGTTTACAGGAAGTTTGGAATGCCTTGGTCTGAGGACGATTTTGACCACAGCTCATACAAGGAACAGACATTAAAAATGTTCAGTTCTAAAATTAGCCTCCACCCTACCTGACATTTAAGTTGTCCCGTTCTCCAGAAGGACTCCACAATGGAGGACCCTACATTCAGTCCCAGAATAAGGGTCCCCAGTTCCAGATGTACATCTCTAATATCCTCCCTAAGGAGTTTAAGGAGACTTCACATGCTTTCTAGGATGTTTTCTTTTCTTTTTCACATGCTAATCTAGGAAGATTAACAGCTTCCTAGTGGCACAAATTTGCTAGAAATCTGGTACATCAGACATAAAGATTCTTTGTATATGCAGCCAATCAGCTCTCTAAGACTGACACAAACACGCTTTTTTAATGTATACCTAATAGTCCAATACAAGATGCATACACGTAAACAGAAATACACCTAATTATGTGTTTAATTCATTTAAATAAATGGGAAAACTGTCAGGCAGCAATGGGAACAAGATTTCAGCTGCCACAGAGAGTAAATAACAGTCACAGGGGCTAGGTCTCCACATCCCTGTGGCATATTCACCACCACCATAACTCCTATTATAGGTCTGGTCTAAGAAATACAGTCAACAACAACAATAATATTTATGTTTACTCACTGAAAATTAGAGAAAAGCCCTGCAAAAAACAGGTCCTGATAAAAGCAATCAAGACCACTTTCTGCCAGAAGGAGGTACCTGAAGTATTCTTAAAGTCTAAAAGGCTACATCAGGAGTACACAGGGACATGTCACTAACAATCAAGCTTTCCACCTCCAATACCCTTCAGGACAATTAATTGAAGATAGGAGCTATTCTTCATTTTGTACAGGATCTCTTCTCTTGGTTTCAATACCTTACTTACAGTACAGAGCACCAGAAAGACAGACAAATCCATTAGCGAGTATTCAAAGCAGCTTTTACCCTGAACACATGCTAAGGCAAGCCAGAAATGTAAACCTGGTGTGGTAGATGAAATCTTAGGTGGTGCAAAACGCTGAGTATTGAAAGTATCAGCTAAGCAGCTCAAGCAAAAAACATAATCAAAGCAAGAGCACAGAAGCTTTCAGACAGCACAGAGTTATTGTGTAAAGACTTATCTTTAATCCATTCCAGCCCCACATTGTCTGACATTTCACCTCACGGCTACCACTGTTTGTGCCAGCACTAGGATGCACAGGCTCTGCCATAAAATGCTCTCCACCCCTGGCTGGACTTTAGGGAAATAAAAATTCTATGTAAAAAGATGTAAAAAATTATTCAATTTTGTTGCTGAAACTCCTGTTCCACACTGAAATTACCTCCCATAGAGATACAGAAATATGACCAGTCAAAAGTGAGAAAAACAGGACAAACTAGTGAGTGTGAGATATATTTGGTCCAAGGCAGCTTTGACTGCCTTTCTACTTTGAAGGAAAAGGGGAAAAAAAAAATTAGCCTTTAATTTGAAGAGACCATGGTGTACAGTCGGAGGGGAATATGGTTCTGTTTTATTCTTACCAATCTGTGCTAAGTAAAAATGTGTACTTAAGTAACAGCAAGCCACTCATTTTGCCCTGGCACCAGTTTTCTAATGACTTGCCCCAGTGCTGTCAGATATGTAGGGTGTGCTGGGCCCAGCTGGCTGCAGTGCATGTTCTGTAGCAGCCTGAAGGTAGGCTGTGAATAAATAAATCCTAATTTATTTACGGCTAAATCCAGTTGCATTCACTTGTTTAAACAGACTCTTATGGGACATATTGTAGCTAGCAAGCTATTACTAATTGCTAGGATAATCCAAAACTCACAGTTACTTTAAATGTATTTAATGCCTTCTATTTATAGAACTGTGCTTAATTCAATGGAAAATTTGGACAAGTGTTTTAGTCCTGTTATTAGTGTGAGTAACAAATGCTGGAAATATGTTATCACATATATAATGCACTCTTAATGTTCCTTTTTTTTGTCAGCCTTAGTTCAAGACTGACTGAAGCAGGGAATGGTGTACAAGACATACTCTGCTACCTCTTGAAATTTTTCATTCAGGTTGACTTGAAAGAAATAAAGCCTGAGAAGGTGTTACAAGTGAACAACCACACTGACAGGGATTCTCTCCAATGCTTTGGGACAGCTACCATTTCCACACCACACAGCTTTCGAGGGAAATGCCTCATTGGAGTCTTTATTTGTCAAGAACAGAAGACCTCAAACAATTTACTAAGCATCCCACTCTATTGTAATTTAACAGTGGCAGCAATTTCCCTTTTACAGAAAAGAAAAGTTATATGAGACTTTTTTTTGTGGGACATGAACAGATTCATTGTATTTCCAAGGATTTCTGGGGAAAGCAGTCTGAAAGACATGGCTGTCAACTCTTGGTAATACTTCACCAGGACCTTTCACCTTTACCTCTAAGTGACGTGTTCTGTCCTCTTGTATGCATCCACTGCGATCTCCACCAAGCCAGCACGAAGAGAAGAGTCAGGGAGAATGCAGGGTACAGATGTCTCATGTCAAACTCAGCTGTGTCAGCTGTTTTCAATACTTTATGCTCTTGATGATGAATGGCATCAACCATATCATCTGTTTAACCAGATTCTGGTTCCAGTCAATTCACTTTTGCCCTGAATAACAGATAATCTGATTCAGCAGAGTTGCCCTACTATCTCTATGGCTATTTGTCATGTCCTCCCTAAAAGAAAGAAATTTGAAGTAATTTTGAGAATTAGGACTGAATGGCATAAATCTGCCTCTCAGGATGGGAACTAGAAGAGATAAATAGTAAGTCTCCTTTGCTTGAATTTCAGCCATATGTGTCTTGAAGGTCTGAAACACATAAAGAATGCACAGTCTGTATTTTAAGCTCCTCACCATTTGGACAAGAAAAGACTCTGTCAAATGAGCTCTTGTGTGACTGTGATTTAAAAGAGAAAGCTGGTCAAGTCTCTGAGCCATCATCCCATCTCTAAGGTATTGTTCTGTCTCAGTATTTTTAGAATTTCACCAGAACAAGAGCCCTCAAGTTACACAAAAGAATACTTTGAAATGGTGCCTCATATCTCCTTGGTTTGTCAGTTTGGGTACTGATTTGAATGCTGAGAAGATGGGGGATTGAAAGTTCTCTTATGGCTATTCTGCTTAAATAGTGGCAGCATGCCCTGAAGATACCTTATTCTAAATACAAAAAGCACCACCACTGTTACAAAAAATGCAAAGAAATAATAGAAATAGCTTCAAATATTTTACCAGATTATCTTTTAGATTCAGATTTAATACTATTCATTATGCCATATATTAGCCTAGTGTCTAACAGTCACAGCCACAGATGAAGATTCAGCTGATCTAAATTTTACATTGATCATAAAGCTCCCTAGCCAAAACCCCTACAGTCTAAATGCAGGTGATGATGGGGATACCTGGGGGAAAACTAGTAAACAATAAAACAGCATCAGTCAGGAGGAGTAACTGTAGCAAAAATGACAGGGTTTACACTAGTTAATAATTTGGAAGATATAACTTCCAAACAAAAATTGACTCCCCTAAACAGTTGGGTTTTTTTACTGTTAATATGTTACTAGTGTTAACATTTCTATTTATTTTGTCATGCTGCCTCCCATCAGAGATTGAAAAATACCTTGCCATGTTATCTGTTGTTTATTGTGAGCTGAGGAGCAGACCAGCCTCCTCATAGCTACAGAAGTTAAATTTTCATTTAACACAGGGAAAAGTTTCTGTCACTTGTGCATGTGAAAGCCCAGTTTTGAAAGCAAACCCCTGGACTCCATCTTTGCCCTGCTGTAATCTGTCTGATGCAACAGCAGAACCTGCAGTAAATGAGTGCAGGGGATTTCCATATTCACCGAGGATGGTGTGAGCTGACTGGGTCACTGTGACACCAACCGAGCTAGGTATCATTTCACTTTTCTAATGCACTTTCTAGGGAAAAATCTGAGATAATTAATACCAGAAAGGTTTCAAACACATAGCATCAAAACAGTGATACTCCTGGGGAATGTGTGTCCAGGTGCCAGGAAGCATACACAAGACCATGCATGACAACAGATCTCTTGCAGCTGAGAGCTGAAGTTAACTGGACTATTAACTGAAAAAACTTCACCAGCTGGACACATTAGGAGAAAGGGATCTTCAAATGCACATAGACACCTACAAGCCAAATGTAGTTAAGAATCAACAATCTGGAAGCTAATAAGGAAGGTTGCTCCCTCCCTGAGTGCTATCCAGCTTCCTGGCAGGAACGCCACTGACCTTCATTTTCCCCTTAGAATAGACAGGGTGGAGAGTTAGGCTGGATCACACTGAAAAACTGCTGGGCTAGTGAGCCCATTGTCTTTCACCTTTCCTTTTTTGTTTGTTTGTTTTAAATACATGTCTGATTGGGTTGTTCAGATGGCAGGACATCTGGTACAGTTTTCAGGCCCTGCTTTAATTTAATGATTTAACATCTAGTACACAGGCTTGTTTTACCACAGAAATTTTTTGCCGCCCACACTTTTCTTTCTAATTGGAACTATGTAAATCATAGGCTGACAGTGCTATATAAATCATCTCTAGTATGTCTGCTATTCATTTAAATAACAAATTGGAACTTTTTTTTTTCTAATTGTTACATCCTGGCCATAATAATTTGCACATATATGATAAAACTGGAGGCTTGCTGTGCTCTATTAACTTAGTTTATGAAGCACACAAAGAGAGCCTAACTAGACAGGCTTCAATAAGTAATCCTCCTATTGTTGCTGTAAGAGGAACACTGGGCTGTGTACTGCAAGCTCTCAAGTCAGTTAAGGCACATGCTTGAGACATACTGCATAGCAGCCCAGGCATAAGTCCCACAGTGCTCCCCAGGTTCAGCCACTGAGCATCAGATAATGGAAGGCACTAAATTAATTAGAAAAAGAAAGTGACCTAGCTCTGTTCCCAGATGTGTCACTACTGACTTGTCATGTGCCTTGGAGCAAGCCACTCCCCGCAGCTGGGCTTCAGCTCTCTTGGCTTTGTCTGAGTGGTCTGCGTGAAAACAAATCCCTCTCTCTGGAGAAGAGGCGTGCCGTGAGCATGCAGTGCTCAAAAGCAGTAGGCACCCAATTGCAAACACATCCATTAAGCACTCTAGTGAACCCCAGCCACTTTGGTGTCATAGCATAAATAATATTCATCATACTGATAGGAGTTCATGAAAAAACCACAATAAATTCATTGCTGTATCAGCTGAGCTCATGTACTTTAAATATCAGCATATCCAGCATCAAGAAGAAAATAAATCTATTCTTTCTACATGGCAATTATTATTTTAAATGCTACTTTATCTCTGCACTTGAATTCATGGTATTCTTTTGACGAGGACCAAGTAAAGTAATATGACAAGTATCACACAAAGGTTTAGGATTTTTCCATTAATAAGAAACAACAGTATACAGTAGTTCATGCTACCTTTAACAAGGGAACTTCTTCATCATAGACACAACTTAATAAAAGTCCTAAACATGTGTTTCTTCGCTAATTTTTCCTTCAGGGATTTTTAAGAGTTTGTGGAGTCATTTTTAAAATTAAAAGTTGACCTGGTCATTATGTGGGAAACAAGGAAGGTCCTTATCTGGAAAAGGAAACACACTCAGTGAGTCCTTAGCCTCATCACCACTGCTCTTCACTCAGCTTTTATGCTCCATCTGCTAGAAAAACACAGCAGAAAAGGTACGCTGGCCCCAGCTCTGCATATATTCATCCATCCTTTCTAGTCGTTACCCTGGCTGTGGGCAGATTTTATTTGGGCCAGACAACTTTCTCCTAGTCCCAAGACTTGATTCATGGGTTAGCAAGGGACAGGAAACTTCTCCCACAGACAGTGTGGGTGTGGCTGGCATGTCTGAAGGAGAGGAAAGTCAAGGTGGGCCAGCATCCCTCTGGAGAGAAACGTGTCCATAGCTGTAACACCAGCAGGGCAGGGAGCTGTGGGAATGCTCCCTGTGATGGCAATCCACACAGTCCACAAGAGGACAGCTAAACAAACACCTGAAGGGCAAACTTAAACATGCCTCTCCCCCAGATTTTGTCCTTTCTATCCACACTGTCAGTTGTTTGAATCCCCCCAAAGTTTCAAAGTAGCTGAGCTGAGGATATCTGCACTGAGCACTCAGCACTATGTTGACTAGAATAAAGATGGCAACATACAGGGTTCTAAGTTTTCTCACTAAAAAGTGAGAAATCAGATCTTAAACCTGCACTCAGGTTGGGAGTCGAAGAAAACAATGCAGTGCTCACAGAAGCAGGTTTTAGAGAGTTTAAATGTACTGAAATCAAGCCATTTTTGTGGTTATAATTTTAGACTGCAGGAGAAACTGAGCATGACACCCCCACAATGTATTTAGAATAAACAAATAATGTGACATAATATCAAGCCAATTGCTAAAAAGGGCCTTGATGGGAGACAGCTTCTAAATCATCTGCAGGTTAGAGTAGTCCCAAAAAAAAAAGATCAGAAACTGTTCTAGAGACTAGTCTTCAATTTGCTATCAAAGCTTTGTGTACTCGGATTATCATGCAGAGAATTGATATTGAGAGCATCATGAGTGGAAAAAGAAGTGGTTACAGAAACTTCCATCCTGGCATTTCTAGGTGGCTCAGGAAGAGCTTTCTTCAGCTGAGGGAAAGGATTCAGAGTCTCAGCTTCCTGCACAGGCAAACTTTTCAGCTTAAAAGCCATACTCCTGTTTTACACACAGCATCTCCCACTTTCTCCCATGTCACCTGAGCGGCTCTCTGTGTGCTGAAACAGAAAGACCAGCCAAGAGTGCAACCAGCCTTTGTCTGGGGGATAAGCGCATCATCTCCGTGCCATCTCACTCCAGCTGAGGGGAGGCAGAAGGGTGTAAACCTCCTAGCAGACAGCTGAGAAGAGCACTCCAGCAGTGTCTACCTGCCTTCCAAAATTCACACCCCAAGGATGAGCTGCTTGAAAGGGCCCTAAGCCACAAAACGTATATCTCCTTTATTCTCTGCCTCTGCCTTCCAGGCTGCTGCCCAGCCCCCTGTGGGCAGCGCCGGGTGTGTCCCTGCTGCCCACCCTCTCTGCCTCTCCGCTGGCACCGCTTTCCCACGCATTACCCGGGGGGAGATGGGGTTGAGGTGGACGAGTGGCTCTGCTTTTACCTGCTCTGGTCCCAGTTGGCAGCAAAAAGGACGAGGATCTTCCTGCCGTAGTGGTCCAGGTTGGCCAGCCCGCCGGGGAAACCATCCTTCAGTGCTTGCTTGATGCCTGGGTCTGTGGCCTTGAAGCTCTTAAACATGTCCAGGTTCTGCTGTCGATATTCAAAGTATTGGGCCAGGAGGCGAAACGCCTCGAAGTGCTGAAACTTCCTGGCCCGCAGAAACCGCAGGATGAAGGCATCGTCGGTGCGGAGGAAGCCGATGTCCGGCCGGGTGATGACCATGTCCCGCACCTCCTGGATGTCCTGGTGCAAGGTGTCCGGGTTCTCGTTCAGCTCCAGCCGGGCTTTCTCCAGAGTCTCCGGGGAGAGACCTGCCTGCAAATGAGTCATGGCGCTGCCCTCCTCCTCCTCCTCCCCGACTCTGCTGCCTGCGCTCCTCAGCCTCCCGGCCGCTTGCCCCCCGGAGGTGGGCTGCCCCGGCACGGCCGCCGGCCGCTCCCCCGCCGCGCCGGGCCTCGCCCCGCCGCTCCCCGGCCCCGCCGCCGCGGCCAGTCCGTCCGCCGAGATGCGAGCGGCTCCCAGGCAGCCGGGTCCCGGCGGGGGCTGGCACCGAGACTGCCCCCGGGCTGCTGGCGGAGGCGCGTTATCTCTCTGACATAGCGCCCTCCCCGCCGCGGGGTCCAACGCGCCGCATCATCCCCGCAGCCGCTCCACGGAGGCGCCGAAACCCGCCGAGAACGGGGCTGCTGGCTGCCGGCTGCTGCTCACCGCCCGCCCCCGCCGGTGCCGCTGCCGGTGCGGATCTCGGGCAGGGCGGCAGCGAGGGGCCCGGTGGCTAGGCAGGGCGAGCGGCGCCCGAGGATGCTCCCCTGGCCCGGGGCTGGCAGGGGAGATGCCCTCCCCGGAGCAGCACCATTTACGTAAGATCAGCGCTCACCCCGCTTCAGAAGCGTCCCCCTGGATTTGAGGGAGGGTTAAGAAAAAAAAAAAAAAAAAAAAAAAAAAGCTCCACCACCACCAAACTGAAAGAAGCCAGCGAGGAGGAGGGAAAGCCGATCCGCAGGTACTTCGCCGGTACTGCTGCCTCCCGCTCGCCGGCGCGGAGCCCGGAAAGCCGAACGGAGCGTCGGCCTGGAGGATGCTCGTGCCCCCCTCCCGCGTCCTCCTTCGCTCCCCGCCCCGCTCGCAGACGGCACCAGCCGGCGCGGGGCTGCCCGCTGCGCGGCCCCGCCTTGTGCGCGCCCCCGCTCGGGCCCGCTCCCGCTGCCGCTCGGGCG